AACGCCTTCAAAATGCCTTCCACCACTCAATCTCCCGCGCTTCCTTCTTCAAGAAAAAAATTGTCAATGCAATCCAACCAAGTATTATTACAACCTCTGTTGATGGATACCTCATGAAAATCTCAATCGGAACCCCCCCAATAGACATTCTTGTCATTGTTGATACTGCTAGTGACTTGACATGGACACAATGTGAGCCTTGTATTGATTGCTTCGAACAATTGGCACCTATTTTCAATCCCAAGAGTAGCTCTTCTTACAAGACTATTGGTTGTAACAATAAAATTTGTCAAGTAGATAATGGTTTTCTCACATGTAGGAATAATACATGTAATTATGAAGCAATTTATGAAGACCAATCTCATACCATAGGTGATCTTTCTATTGAAACTTTCACATTTGCTTCTACTTGTGGTGAAAATATCTCAATTCCTAACATTGCCTTTGGTTGTGGACATGCCAATAGAGATAGTTTCACTAATAATGCCATTTCTGGCATCATTGGCTTAGGTGGTGGCAATGTCTCAATTGTCAACCAAATGAATAAAGAAATCAAAGGGAAATTCTCATATTGTTTCATCCCATTGGAATTATTGTTAGATAGTTCCAATGCAACTAGTCACATCAACTTTGGTGACAACGCTGTCGTGTTAGGTCCTGATGTTGTTTCAACTCCCTTGATATTACGTGAAGAGGATCCAATCTCCTATTATCTAACTTTGGAAAGTATTAGCATTGGAAATAAGACTTTGCCATTCAGATCTTCTAAAATTAGTCCCAACGATCAAGGTAACATTATAATTGATTCTGGGACAACATATACGTTTGTTCCTTTTGACTTTTATGCGAATTTGGAGAAAACATTGGTGTCTTTGATTAATGCTACGAGGAAGAACGATCCATCTGGGTTCTTAAAGTTATGTTATGAGTCTCAGAATGGCACTATCAATGTTCCCAAGATTGTTGCACATTTTACAAATGCAGATATAGAGTTGCCAACAACAAACACATTTACACAATTGGATGAATGTTTGGTTTGTTTCACAATGTTGCAAGATGATGAAATTGCTATATTTGGGAACTTGGCACAAATGAATTTCTTAATTGGATTTGATCTTGTGGCTAACAAAGTTTCATTTTTGCCTACTGATTGCACTAAGCACTAAAGGGTTTGGTTTAAAATGGGTTGACAAGTTATCTAGACATGTAATGGATTAGCTTGTAATTCTTTTAACCCCCCATTGTTTGTTGGTATTCAATGTCATTTTGTGCTTAAAGATCTTTTGTGTTTAATGAGAATTTTTTATGAATACAATTGCTTTGTATGAACCAATACAATTGTATTGAAAGTATTATATTTAGCTATATGTTAGAAAGAGCAGAGAGACTAGCGAGATTTGGGGGAGAGAAGAGAGAAAGTATGAAGACATGTTGTATTTGTTGTATTATCATGAATTCTATTGATACAATTTATTTGTATCATCGAATAAAATTATATCAAGTATATTAACAAATATAATTTATATTAACGAATACAATTATATCAACTTATACAGTGGGAAAAATACAAATCATCATGATACAATTGATACAAAATAGAAATACAGTTGACACAAAATACAAATTCAGTTGTCAGTATATAATTGATATTGGATACAAATAGTTAGAAAAAAAAATCCCTCACCTATATTTCACAGAGACGATGAATACATGTTGTATTTGTTGTATCAAGTTGTAAATTAATGGTACAAATTGATACAATATATATATATTTGAACATTGTTTGGGAGAGAGAGGGGGGGGGGGGTTGAAGGAGAGAGGCGAGAGAGAGAGCAGAGTGGGAGGGGAAAGGTGAGCGAGAGGGGAGATAAATATTTGCTATAAAACAGTAACTATAGGTACGAATTACAATTCTTTTAAATATATATATAAAGGGGTAAAATTTTGTTTCTTTGACCAAAGCTTTAGCAATTATTTTCTTGGAAAGAGGAGGGAGAAATGGAAAATTACTTTAAAGAATTTTTAATAAAAAGTTTTACAAGGTTAGCTTAATATGGCAAACAACAAGCGAATATATTAGAAGTCAAATCTAGAGAGAAGTCTCTTGAATTATGTCCGTTGTTATAATTAATTATCACTATACTACAAAAGAAAGTTCAACTTTAAAGTTTACAAAGTCAATAAATTGCATTAATTATACAAATTCTTACTAGTAAAAAATATGAAAGGAAAATAAGGAGTATATATCTCATAAATCTAATTAGATATAGTAACTTAATTACATATCAATGCCTTCTATGGAGAGGGAGACCCAACTTTAAAAAATCCACTTCATACTAGGGGGTCGTTTGACAGAGTGTATTAGGAGAAATAATGTATATATTAGTTCTGTGTATTAATAGTATCTTATTTTATATACTTTTTCAACCTATCTACATCCTATTGTGTATTCAAGTGTGTATTATTAATACCATAGATTTCTAAGTATTAGTAATGCAACAAATCTAATGTATGCAGTAGCATGATTAAAGACAAAATTACCCCTCAAAACCCTTTTTACATCTTTTCTACTATAATTGTGGAGGATATTTTTGTAAATTAATATTTTTATGCAATACATGCAATTTTTAATACACCAAACCAAACAATGCATAAAAATTATCTATGTATAATCAATGCAAGCATTACTAATGCAACTCTATTTAACATTATTTTTATACACTCTACCAAACGAGCCATTACATTTATTCATGACAACAAAATCTCACTTTCTCCACTATTAAATTTTTACAACTTAATTAGTTAATTAGTCTTGACATACATTTTGTCACCTATAAAATGGTGCTAAACATTGTCTCCTCTTTCATCATTTCTTATAATTCTCCAAAAACCTTGTCAATTCTCCAAATCCCTAGCCATGGAGATTGATACTAAAGCTTTTACTCTTATCCCTATGTTAGTTGTTTTATCGTTTTTTCATCTTTCTTTGGTTTCTTGTCATAAAAATGTAAATGGCTTCACTCTGGATCTTATCCACCATGATTCTCCTCTCTCGCCTTATCACAATCCATCAAACACTCCATTTGAACGCCTTCAAAATGCCTTCTATCGATCATCCTCCCGAGCTTCATTCTTTAAGAAAAACCCTCATGTTAATTCAATCCAATCGACTATTACTGCAGCCGATGGTGAATACCTCATGAAAATCTCAATTGGAACTCCTCCAATAGATATTTTTGCCTTTGCTGACACTGGAAGTGACTTAACATGGACACAATGTGAGCCTTGTGTTGATTGCTTCAAACAATTGGCACCTATTTTCAATCCCAAGAATAGCTCTTCTTATAAAACTATTGGTTGTAACAATGAACTTTGTGATAAAAAAGTAGGGTTTCTCTTTTGTAAGAATGATACATGTAATTATAAAGAGATTTATGGTGACAATTCTTATACCATAGGTGAACTTTCTAGCGAAACTTTCACATTTGCTTCTACTTGTGGTGAAAATGTCTCAATTCCTAACATTGCCTTTGGTTGTGGACATACCAATAGGGGCACTTTCACTAATGTCACTTCTGGCATCATTGGCTTAGGTGGTGGCAAGACCTCAATTGTCAACCAAATAAATCAAGAAATCAAAGGAAAATTCTCTTATTGTTTGATCCCATTCGAATCATCATCAACTAATTCCAGCATAACTAGTCACATCAACTTTGGTGACACTGCTGTCGTGTCAGGCCCTGGGGTCGTTTCAACTCCCTTGATAAGAGTTCAAACCTTCTATACTCTATCTTTGGAAAGTATTAGCATTGGAAATAAGACTTTGCCATTCAGACCTTCTAATTTTAGTTCCATCCCTCCACAAGGTAATATTATCATTGATTCAGGTACAACACTTACGCTTGTCCCTATTGATTTTTACGCGGAGTTGGAGAAAACATTGGTGGATTCTATTAATGCTACTAGGAAACTCGATCCATCTAAGTCTTATAAGCTATGTTACGCGTCTGAGAATGGCACTATCGATGTTCCTAAGATTGTTGTACATTTTACAAATGCGGATTTAGAGTTGCCACCAACAAACACATTTGTACAAGTGGCTGAAGGTTTGGTTTGTTTTACAATGGTGCCTGATGAAGAGGTTTCAATTTTAGGGAACTTGGCACAAATGAATTTTTTAATTGGATTTGATCTTGTGGCCAACAAAGTTTCATTTTTACCTACTGATTGCACTAAGCATTAAGGATTTTAGTTATGGATGGGGGGTGACAAGTTATATATATGCTTATACATGTAATGAATTTGGCTATTGGCCTAACTTGCTACTATACATTAATCTTTTATTACCCTTTTGAGAATTATATTTATTTCATATGATGCTTAGAGATCTTTTATGTGTTCAATAATGATTTGAAATTGGAATTAGATGTTTAATAGGTCATGTAGTTGCTTTTTCTGAATGAAATGTTTGGCAAGATTAGTAGTTGTGGCGGATTCAAAATTTTAAGATAGAGCTGATGGAGTATACAACTTTGAGCACCTACAAATGACCACTACACTACTTAATTACTTGATTTGATTGAATCTTGAAGTTGAAATTTTAAAAGTATTTGATTTTGTATATACACATGAATTTTATTCAAGAAAAAATTGAAGTTGTTTAAATAAAAATTGTTATTTCACTTGAAATGTTTCTTAAACTTTAACTTCTCTGGGAAACATGAAATTAACATTGGACAAAATTTTGTAACTAAACAACAAAAATTTCATGCTAATTCCCTTTACCTACGAAATATAAGAAAATTCATTAAACTATGAGCTATTTTCCAATCTATCAATGTGAAACGTCACTTGAATAACTTTTTTTTATATACTTTTATTAAGAAATTCAGTATACTCATTTTCTAAAAAAAAAAATTACTCCATATTTTTTGATAAAATATTTTTTTGATTGCATATATTTTCCACTTCACAAAAGAGTGACACAATTTGTAATCAATTTGCATAGAGAATGTCTTTGCTTTCACCTCCTCTCCCAATCCCAATTCTCCATAGCTCTACACACCATTATAGCACTCTTCGTCTTGTTAATCTTCAAAAGTCTCCATCTTTACACTTCCACAGAAACCTTAAGCTCTATATCGGAGCTTCTGCAGTTCCCCTTCACCGGAGGTCGGCGAATTTTCCGGCGTCCGGTGAAGTTCTTCGTCGAATTGCTGCTTCTGCTGTTCTTTTTCTTAGTTTGGGTTCGACCCTTTTCGCCTTTAGGGCAGTTGCTTCAACCCATGTTCCTCCTTCAGACCCTTGTGTAACTCAGCTTCAGGAACAAGAATCTCAAGGTAATGCTTTTTCTGAAAATTCCAAATTATTAAAATGTTTGACATTTCTTTCCATTTTCATGAATTCAATTTCATTGAACTATTCAAATTTTAAACTATGATGTGATATTTGTTTTCCCAACTATTACTTTACTTAGTAGTACTCTGTGACGGTTCAATTTGTTTGTCTGCTTTTGACTTTGGCATAGTATTTAAGAAAGAAACGAAAGGCTTTTTATTCATGTGGTACTAAACTATAGATATGTTGAATGTACCAAAATGTCTTATAAGATTCGTGGTAACATGTCAGGTGAAAGGTTGAAATTAAAGAGTTGCGGAAAAAATGAAGAGGCGTTGTTTTTTGAGATAGACTGAAAAGGGAAGTAAGATAAATAAAGTGAAACGGAGGGAGTAGTATTTTATTGATATCGCTATGTTTATGCAAGTAAGATATATGTCAAACTTACATCTTGAATTGTGTATCTAGACGAATGTGGTGTCATTTAGTATTGAAAGGAATGAATCATCTTGAATTGTGTATCTAGATGAATGTGGTGTCATTTAGTATGGAAAGGAATGAATTATTTACTCTCGAAAAAACAGAGCAAATGAATTGTAGGTGAAACTCAGCAATGGATTGAGAATTGTTTTCCAGAATGTAGGTCGTATAGAATACTAATTTGTGAAAATGCAAGTACCTTGTCGAAGGTTTACCACAGAGAGAAAGAGAGTTTATCTAGTCAAATGTTGTGTCATATAGCACGGAAAGAAAGGAGTAATTTTCTCTAGAACATATAGTGCAAATGAACTGCAGGTGAAACGCAACAGCAGATTGTCTGAGAATGTAGGTTGTACAGACTATGCTGTGAAACTGCAAGTACCTTGTGTCCTTGTTGAGGTTTTCCAAAGAGTGTATCACTTTATTAAAAAGAATAAAAAAGGTTTGCCCGAGAGAGTGAGAAGAGAAGGGGGGGGGAGAGGGAGACAGATAGTGTGGTACCACTAGAGCTAGTGCTATACAAAGATCGATAAGCTTAGTTATTTGGGTTAATTATGGCTACTGAGTTAGAGAAACATTATGCTCTACATGTTAGCCCATGTTGCAATTTTGTCATAGATATGGAGTAAGTAGTCTAGACCTAATTGCAAAAGTGGGTACTATTTATTTCTTCTTTGTTTACTCTTACAAGCTAGTGTAAAAGTGCCATCCTTATCACCTCGAGCATAGGCAACGTAGAAAAGATAGAAACTCATATACTGACAGTTGGCGACAGTTGTTCTGTTCTTCCTTCTCTAGTTAGCTTAACATTAGTAAAAAAGGATGTCCATGTGTTTAAGAGTTGGACTACTATCTCGTCAAACAAAGTGTGTGGTGTTTATGAAGTTCCATAATGTATTGAATTCTTTTACCGCTGTACCACAGTATGTACATGGTGGCAGCGAATTCTTTGGCATTTCAGTTTTGTAGTCCATAAGGATCTTTTTATAGTTGTAGACTTGTAGTTACAGGAAATTGATGATAATGCAGGGGGATACAAACCTAAATTATTTTTTTGGACTTCCCATTGGAAAAATAACACATTAAGAATTGCACCCAAGGATGTGCCCAGGGATCAATGAAGTGAGGAGAAAACCATGAGGTCTCATATTCAAATCTCAATGGAGGCAACCAGGTGATTCCTTCCCATCTACCTAGGCCTTGGTGGGTGGAGTTATGTGGTACTTGTGTTGGTAGGAGGTAGTAGGTATCCGGTAGGAAAGAAAAACATTAAGCATTGTAAAATATGTAGTTCTGACTAGAGTCTTAAAGCTTCTTATATGATCCAAGCATTACTCTAGTTTCATTTTGTACATGACACTTCCATATGTTTGTAGATGTAAAAAAAATTTCAACTTAGCAGATTTTATGTCTTATCATGTGAACTTTGTCTCTCACACATACATATGACTTTTATAGATATCTATTATAGAGTGGGAAATGGGAACCTAAATGATGGGATCCATGTCTGCAATATTAATTCTTTTGCTATCCCAAGGTTTATCCTAGATGGGAGCTACATGTGAAATTTCATCTTCAACCATCCAAGTTGAACCATGATGCTTAGTGTGAAACATATGAATAATCATTGTTGTTCTTGTTTATTGCATTTAATGTTTTTCTTATTATTGTTATTGAGTGTTGCCCTCATTTTGCTATTTGCATTTGATAGTATTGATATATAAATGTCTTGTTTATGATCTATCAGAGTTTCTTCTCTCTCTCTCTCTCTTTATTCTTTTTATTTCTTATTTTAATTCTGGTGCCTTGGACTTTGGATTACACAGGCACTAGGGTTGGAAAATCAGAAAATGTGGAGGATATCGATAATGAAGAACTTCAAGCAGCATTTGAGAAATGGAAGTCTAAGACATATGCTTTGACTGTTCCTTTAAGAGTTGTTTCTCTTAGTAACTCTTTTCCTCCTGTATGGCTCAAGGTCTGCTACTCTGCTCGATATCTCACTTTTTTACTTTCAGGATATGATCATTTCAGACCTTGTGTGGTGTAAAGGTTGTATTCATAAGTTGTAATATAGGATCAAAGAGTAATTGTGATGTTATGTTGGTCTTCTCTTGCATAGGAGCGGGGGTTTTACCCTGTGCGCACCCAAAGGGTAGCGGCTGCGGGTTTCCTTGTCATAAAAAAAATGCTGGTCTTCTCTTGCTATACTATTGACCCCTGTTTTGGCTAATGAATTCCTCTGTTGGAGATACCAGTATTTTGTGTGCCACCACTATAGATATTTGTCTCAAATTTATTGTACAATAAATGCTGCTCCTCGACTCTAAAATAAATTTGGAATGTGTGTAATCACGGAAAAGAGTTATTCCGGTGGAGAAAAAAGTAAGAACTTAGTGGCTCCAAGGTTGCAAGTTACACGAGAAATACTGTAATAATTTGTTTTATTTGAGTTTGTTTGCGGACCACCAAATTAAAAGGAATGGAGGAAAAACAAGAGGAATAATCAAGATCAAAATTATTTTGTTTTCATATTGATGTGCACATTGGATAATATAGGTTACTGATCTATAAATTAAGTTCTAGTTTGGGTAATAAGAAAAATTTTAAACAAAAAGGAATTATTTGATTGTACTTTGAAATAAATCTCTTCTATAGAACTGTGCAGGACTAATCTGCTCGAAAAACGGAAAACAAGAGAAAAGCTACTGTTGTAATGATGTCCTCATTGCTACCTCGACCCAATAATACTAGGAACTTTCAAATATGTACTCTCGCTGATGCTTTAAGAAGCATTTATCATTTGAATTGTGGTTATGTACTTTCAATCTCCTTTTGTTTGATAATGTATCTGGTTAACTAAAGAATGAAATCCAAGCTACAGTACTTTTGAGGTACTTTGCCAATGTGGATGCTATAGTTTGAAAATGATCCTGAGCTCTAACTTTAGGATATTTCTAGATATTAGCTCCTGTTCAAGGTCTCCCTGTATTCCCCTCTAAAACACTTATTTTATGTACACCCACATGCCCACCTTTGTTAAGAGACAAAACTATAAGTTATTTAGTTTAATTTGTTAACTATGAGATGAGAACTCTGTTCATTGTTACACATTGACAAATCATAGTTCACTGGACTTGTGTTATTTAATATGTATTGAACTGATCCAATGATCATTGATATGATGAAAAAATTGTACGTCTCAAATATAATGGCTCTTTCCTCATTGATGTGTAGGATTTTTTGCGATCTCAAGGGAAGAGAGTGAAATTACGTTCTGAGTTTCGTCAAAGCCTGCAAGACATCTTTCATGAACTTTGTATACCTTTACAGAAAGGAAAAATTAATCCTAAATCTGCTCTGGCAGCTGATGTTGTCACTCTGGGTGATACATGGCTCAGTCATGCCATTGAGAAGAGATTAATTGAGCCGATGGACGGTTTAGAAGATCAAGATTGGTTTGAGAATTTGAATGAGAAATGGAAGGTAAAAACTGTCTTCTTTTTTTTTTCTTATGAGGAGTGACATTTGCATAATGTGATCTTTCAGGGCGTCGGTAGCATTCCAGGTGTTTTTGCCTTATCTTAATTTTTTTCCTTTTATCATCTTCTAAAAAGATAGTCTCATTCTCAGGATTGCCAGATTGCATTGTTGCAACGAAAATTAACTGTTGAGCCATAAAACTGAACAAGGATTTGAAATCCGTCTTTGATTTGAAATCATAGCATTGATGTCATTGGTGATGCCTTATCTCTTTTGTTTTTTTAATTGCAAACTAAACGCCCACCGTGGGGCTTGATGCCTTATCTCTTAAATCAATGGTTGCATGAAAATCTGTTCACTTCAATGCTATGCAAATTGTCCACATTATACTTTAAGTTGAAACCTTCTTAACTATTAGAAATATCTTAGATGAGTTTTACTTTGCATAAAAGTATCTATGTGTCTCCTATTATCATGCCAGGCTGTAATATGTGGCAGCAATGTACAAAACTTTAGTCACTCTAGTACCTGGAATGATGTAGAAATAGAGTGCAAGAAATAACACACCTATCACTATTGGAAGGTGTGGAGCCCTCACTCAACATAGCGGGCCCTAAAACCCAATGCATTATTTTTTAGTTCACAAGGGGGAAGAGTTTTTGCATCTCTGCACCCAAGGGTATGACCTAGTGGTTAATGAAGTTGGTTGAGAACCATGAGTCTCAAGTTCAAATCCCAGCAAACATTAGGTGATTTCTTTTCATATGTCCAAGCCTTGGTGGATAGAGTTATCTAGTACCTATGTTAGTGCGAGGTAGCAAGTACCCAATAGAATAGCCAAGGAGTGTGCAAGCTGGCGCGGACACCATGATTATCAAATAAAGGAAAAAAAAGAAGGAGTTGTTGCATCTTGTTGACCATCACCTGACTTCACACAGGAGGCACTTTGTTTTGAGGCCTTTATTTATTTTATTTAGATGATACCTTACATCTAACCAAAATATTACATGCCTGCTGCTTAAGTGTATATTACTGAACTGTCTCTTTTGTGGAAAAAAGAAAAAGGACTTGTCTCTTCTATAGTCCTGTATTGGAAGCATCATCTTATTTACTTTGGCATATATCTTTTACTCGGATTATTTCATAGTTCCCTTTGACTTGAAATAATGCCAGGTATATTTGCGCAGGAGTGATGATGGGAAACTGGATGCTAGTGGTAGGATATGGGCGGCTCCATATAGATGGGGAAGCATAGTGATAGCTTACAAGAAAAGTGAATTTCAAAAGCGTAAAATGGCTCCTATAGAGGTAACTTGTCTTTGAATTGGGAGTGTCACTTTTAAAAGTGGAACCATGAGTCCTGATGCTTTCCTTTTATTACTCATTGCTTGCAATTATAAATTAATAATTTTGTCTTTCCAGCTGTAATCACGCATTAACAGTATTTTCTACTGCACTCCTTTGAAACTGTTCTTCTGTTCTAGTTACTAAAAGTTTAGTATCAGCTCTACCAAGTCTAATGGTGTTAGCTCACTATGATTTCGATGAAGCACAAACACCTTTATGAAGGTTTCCCTCTCAATGTCCAACCAAACATGTGCCAGACCCTTGCAGTGAAATTTCTTAATTTGTTTCTCTCTTCTACCATGGAAGATGTATCTCCTTGGTAGGGAAGTTCTAGTGACTAAAAGTCTGGTATCAGCTCTACCAAGGCTATTGGCGTTAGCTCACTATGATTTCGATGAAGCACAAGCACCTTTATGAAGGTTTCCCTCTCAATGTCCAACCAAACATGTGCCAGATCCTTGCAGTGAAATTTCTTAATTTGTTTCTCTATTCTACCATGGAAGATGCATCTCCTTAGCGTGATTCTGTTATCCTTGTTTTTCTGCTTTCCTTCTATTTTGTTGTTTCTTTTTCTGTTTTGTGTGTTTTTCCAACTTTTGGATAGAAATCAGTAGGAACTCCTTGAACAAAACATCCATTGGGAAGTACTTCAACGTACAATTCTTGACTTCTATGCGATTTCCTTGTTAGCATCTTGTTTTCTTCCAACATTCTTGTGCAGTTCTTCGACATGCAGTTCTTAACTTTTGCACCATTTTCCTTGTTAGAATCTTGTTACCCCTAGTTATTGAATGTTCTTCCAATGAAAATATGAATATTATTGCAAAATATTTCTTTTTCCCTGTCAGCTACATTATACAGATTATTCATTTGTCTTGGACATGCTCGTGTTGAAAGAGTGTTAAAGTTCACAGATTCCGCGTGCTTTGTTGTTAATGTCATCTTCAAAATGCTAAAATCTGTATCATGGCTAGCTAACACAGGGTTTTAAACCACCTATGCAGGACTGGGCCGATCTATGGCGACCTGAGCTTGCTGGAAAGATTGCAATGGTAGATTCACCACGAGAGATTGTGGGTGCAGTGTTAAAGTACATGGGAGCATCATACAACACAATAGACATGTCTGAAGTTGCTGGTGGGAAAGAGGCCGTGCAGCAGAATCTTGCTTCACTTGTTAAACAGGTAATCTTTGAAGTTGTCTAGGCTTGTGCTTATGAAAGGTTGACTTTGGGGTATATTTTCTGTTCTTTGTACTGAAGAATTTCAAATTTCTGTGGTTTGTCCTGTCTGTGGTGATATATGTTTCTGACAAATCTTCCACTATAATGAATGAGTTTTAAGTGTTTCTTTATTTCTACAAAATAAAGAAGAGCAAAAAATCTACAAAATTGTCTGGAAGAAGAGCTTAATCTGCAAGGACGCAATATCCAAAGGAAATAACGGACAGGGATTCGAATTAGTGTCCAGCAAAAATTTTCTGGTACCGCATGTGCTTTCCTTGCGGACATAGCACTACTGGAAAACAATAAAACTTATTAATTATGGTGTATACATATACATATGATGCCATGAACCTGTTGATTGACTTTGATTGGATACATGTTTGTAGTAAGTTTCAAAATAGCTGGGTACTGTGAGTCATGAACACAGATTATTCAGCTAGTCCTTAACTGATCTTGAACACATAAGTTGTGATTTATGAGTTAAATGTAGTGGTAGAAAGAATTTCAAAGAGAGTTTATAATATGCACAGATATAGGAAATAAATGTGGAATTATTAGTGCAAGATACACAGCTATACATGAAATGCTTTAGTTAGTCATACATAAGCTCACCAAGTACAATTCTTGTCAATTTTCTTAAATTTCTTTGGTAATTCAGAAGTAATTTCGCTAATATTGCACCAATCTGCTATCGAAAACTTGACAATTAAATATTCCCGTTTTGAGCTTTCAAGAGATCTATCCAACTATCAATTACATCTACGTTTCCTTGCTTTTCAGGGTCATGTTCAGTTTTCTTGTATTATCATGTGCTTCAATGTTATGGCTATCCTTCCAAATATTTAAGGCCCGCAATTGGATTTATAGATTTCAAGGACGAACATGCAAGCATACAATTCATGCTTGTTTGAGTAATAGCAATGAGATTTCCCAAACGATTGCAAGAATATGGAGACCTGCAACATCATATTTCTGATGGTTAAATTGAATACTTGGTTATTAGAAAGAGTTGATTGATTGAGTCCTTGTCTGCTAGTTCTATGTCAAACAGATGTTAGGATTTCAAATGATATCTATGTTGACTGATTTAAAATCCTTTAAAAGTGAATTCATGGATGTTATAATTTTGATGTGAGACCTCTATTTACATGCAAAGTAACATTTATGCACCAAACAAAATTTCCTGGTCACTATTTCTATATCTAAATTTTGTATCTCTCCGCAGGTCCGGCTATTTGATAGTCGCCACTATCTTAAAGCCTTCGGAGTTGGAGATGTATGGGTAGCTGTTGGATGGAGCAATGATGTTATTCCAGCTGTGAAGCGCTTGTCAAATATTGCTGTTGTTGTTCCCAAATCTGGTGCAAGTTTGTGGGCTGAGTGCTGGGTATGTCCAGAATTATCTCACTCATGTACATCCTAATGTTTCGTCTAATCTTTTTTTGATTTTTCTTCCTTCGAATCGATTTTGTTAGCTTTTTTTTTGGTGCACTCTTTAATGTTAGTGTTTGGTTTATACATGTCTGGTTAAGAGTAAAATATCTTTTAGGGGTTGTTTGGTATGAGTGATGGGATAACTTTCCTAGCCAAATGCAAGATAAAATAACCCTGCATTTTGTCCCGGGATTATTATCATTTAGCCTTTCATACCAAACTACCCGTTAAAGTCTAAAGCGTTTGAAATTTTATAAGTAGGTTCCATAAAGGCTTCACTAGTGTGAAGTTGAAAAAACAACCAAGTGTAAGAAAAACTCTCCTGTTTTGAGAATTTAGCAGAATCTAGACAGAAGAATAGGATAAAAAAATACGTCTCAGTCACGACAAAACACTTTTCTGTTTCTGTCCGAAATTCTCCGATTGATGCAGGTCCTATCTCAGATTGTTTGTCTAATGCTTCATGAACTCTTATAGTGTTGATAGTTATATTTTTATACATGAATTATTCTCAAATAGATCCCTACCCCTCCTATGGTTGCTGTTTCACAAAGACCCTAGTATAACCGTTGTGTAACACTTGTTTCCTCAAGTTTTGTTCGTTGTAGTTGTCAGATCAGACTGAATAGATTTGTGGAGTTAACTATTAGATATCTCGAACGTGCTTGTAATAGAAACAATTTATAGTAGTATGTATTACAAAATGCAGCTAGAATAGAGATTTATCGTAGATGGGATCATTTCTTCTACAAATAACGTAAAATCTCTCTCTCAGGCAATACCTGCTGCTTCAAGAATTGCAACTGATCAAATAGGTGGAAGAGTTAGAGGACCATCACCAGTAGTGCATCAGTGGATAGAATTCTGTTTGCAAGCTGAAAGATTCAAAGACGACGTTGTCCCAGGTGCTTCACCTAACACCCTTGGATCCTCAGTTAAAGTCTCCGAAGCGCTTACTAGAGGTAGACCAAAACTTGAGACAAACCTCATTGCTGGAGTCCCTCCATCTGATATCTTGGCTAAATGTGAACTTATAGAGCCATTACCAGAAAAGACATTGTCCGAGTATCGGTGGCTAATAAATAGTGTACAGAAGCCGGAGAGTTCTCTGGCGGATAGATTAAGGAATCGTATCTCGTCACTAGCTCATAGCCTTCTTTGTAAAGTGCAGTCAAAAGATGCCTGAAAGTAAACATTGTGTTATGTTTAAATAATTTAGTTGAACATTTGTAATGGTGTATACAGTATCTTTATGTGTGAAGGTTTTTTTTCCAAACATTTTTTATGTATTTGCAATTACAGAACAACACTGACTTAGACTCTTTCCCCCTTCTCAACTATGAAAAAGATCAAGGATTCATACTATATTTCTTTTGAATACTGATTACCAAGAATTTGGACAAAAAAATGTTTACGGTTGATAAAAAATCTTTATCAACAGAAATTAATGAGTTCTTAACCTTAATCAATGAATTTGGTAACGAACCAAAGTTGAGTTTAAATTTGAAAGACCTTTGTTTGTTTTTAGACCTTGGTTATCCTGTAGTTGAATCCTCTAGAACCACAAGAATCCTTAGTTAGAATGAGATTTCAACTCAACTGTAAATTCAGTGATCGAAAGTTTTGTAAATCTAACTATTCTTCGTTTTGGATGAATTCTTGTCCCCCCCCCCTCCCCCCTCTTTTAAGTAAATCGTTTTTGTTATGGTAAGTATAACCGAATAATCTAACCAAATCGATAAATGTATATTATATTTGGTTTTGACAACTTACGAATCGATTAAATTGATTTGATTTTAATCACCAACAACCGATTCAAACCGATCCTAAACACCCCTACTCAAGGTCATTACATGATTTTCGCTGCCATAGGTGTTTTGAGAGAGTTTGTGAGTTTTGAAAGTTTGAAACTTAAAAGGACTAACAAAAATCAAAATTTTGGTTTAAAGAGGTCATTTTGGGATTTTGGTGGTTTCACCAAGTCCGGAGGATGTTTTATGACTTCGTCTTTGTAAGGTCCTCGACTTACCCTTGGATGAAATTCTTGCATTTTTTTTAATTTTTATTGACTTCGATCATGATTTACAATTATAACTTTAATATCCATTTGTTTCTTTTTTATTATCTTTCAAATAAAGAGTGAATAAGAGTAAAAATAAAGTTGATTCAAATAAAGATTTCTTTGATATCGTGTGTCAATAAAAATAAAAAATAAAAATAAGGGCGAAAGAAAGACACCAGGCAATTTGCCATTTTCAATAAAATATATACTTCTATTTAATCATAATAATATATGAATTTATACAAGTTCCCTTTTTATAAATATTTAGAGAAAAAAATATTTTACCAAAAAAAAGTATAAGTTAAGTATGCATCTATTTTCCTCAAAATTGGTTAGGTTACATATTAGTGATATAATAAGCCTTTAGTTAAGTTTTTATACTGAAATAATTATTTTAACTCAATAAAGATAGATAAGCTCAATAATTAATTGAATATTAACTAATTTTATTTCAAATATGGCCAAATTCAGCCAATTGAATTAATTTGATCACATCTTAAATTTAATTTGGCTAAAATTGCAATAAAATTTGACTTTAAAATTTTTAGATAACTACTTAAAAATAATATTTGAACCAAGTATGTATGTATTTTAAATTAATAATTAAATTACTTTTTCGGATACAATTAGTATTTTATTTCAATCTTAGATTAAGAAAAATATTTAACTTAGATTCCATAAAAATAATTTTAAGCAAGTAAATCTAGATTTCATTATAAACATACCTAAAATAATTTTAAGCAAGTAAATCTAGTTTTCATTATAAACATACCTAAAAGAATGCTTATTTTGATAATTGGAGACGCTACTATCTCTATAAATATCGAACAATTTTTAAATAAATTGATATAGAAGTACTGTGTTTGAGTCTCGTTGTCTTTTATTATAAAAAAAATGGATCTTAGAATGGTGTTTTCTTTGATTGTATTGATGATTTTTGTGATTGAAGGAAATCATGTTGTAGAAGGTGAAGTTGAAGTTATTATTTATACATGTAACATAGATGAATGCACAAAAGAATGCAAAGATGATTATGGGCCAAAACTTAAAAGGGCTTTCTGTGAGCATACAAAGTATGGAGATCGATGTACCTGTGAACATTGGGCAGGAGTTACCCACAAAGGATCAAGAAAGAACTTGCTTATGTTCTAATTATAAATAATTGTATGTCTCTGAATTGTTATTGATAATTTCAAAAATTTATTTCATGTTTACATTGACTCATTTTGTTATTTATGAGTGTTTTTGTTTAATTATCATTCAGATATGTTGGTATAATTATATGTTTGATTCGATAGCATCATGTTGTAATATAAATTTGTTCTTGAATATATATTTTATAATTGAAAAGAAGGACAAAACCTGAATAGATCAAAGTGGAAAATTGACTTAATTTGATTCCAACATTTAAAAAATCTGTTTAGTTGATTAGATTTTCTCTTTTGAAAAAATCGAGAGCCATGAAAACCTCTAATTTAAATTTTGGAAGGGGGCAAATTTGACTAAAATTCTTGACATTTTTCTTATAAACAAGTATATCAAAATTATGTCATTTTGGAATGATCCTAAAAAAATTATTAGGAGACTATTTTTAACGTTTATACAATAAGTAGAAGGGTAAAATTGTCCATGAATGGAGTGAAGTAATTAATTAGTCCCACACCACATTAACCTTCAAGGGTAAAATTGTACATGTATATGTATGTATGTTTCTTGTCTCTCGCGCGCCTTGCTGTTATTTCTGTTCTCTCTCGCGCTTGTTTCTATTTTTGATATCTTCTCCTTTTTCTTCTTCTTATTCACCTTTTGCAAGTTATATAATGTACGGTCCGAGCTCATCGTTGTTGTAGTGAATTAGTGTAGATATGATCTTCTTTCTCGACTACAAATTTCTCTTTGTTCTGCCTTTTCCGTCACTGCTCGTCTGATTCTTCAGACCTTTCATTTTGATTCTACACCATGGTTGTTTCCATGACCTGTGCTGTAGGATTTGCGGCTACACAATTTGTGGTGTTATGTCCCGATACTCCACATCTGTTACAAAAGGTGTTAGAATAGCTGAGGTGCGTAGAACACAATTTGTGGTGTTATGTCCCTAATCTTTTTCTAGCTCTTGCTAGGATCGAATGATCATAGAACTCTGTTGGTAATTCCGGTAGTCTTATCCAAAGGTCGGAAAATTTTTCTCTTGCTTCCGAAGCCACCAAGTTAGGATGCCATCTTTTGACAGACAAAAAATAGCCATTGATGAACTGTTGTAGTGAGTGTTGCAAGTTCTCTTCTATCAACAACTTAGTCATGCCCTAGGTCTATAAGGACAATTTCTTCTTTAGATATTGATGGTTTATCTTCTTGCCTAATAATTTTATAATGATGGAGTATGTCCAGGGTCGATAGATTCTCCTTTTATCTTCTTCAGACAGAGCGATGCGATTACCTTCCTCGTTATCTTGATCTACTTCATTATTTTTCCAACCATTTTCGCTCTCCCTGAGACATGAGCCTTCCTCATCCAGTAACATGTCTGATATGTGATCTGGGTAGTCATGTACGGTCCCGTTTTGTTATGGAACTGGTGCGATTAGAAGGTTAGTGTTTTTCCTTCTGTATTGCTGCATTCAAAGGCCAGGCATTTTTAAAGAAGAGTGAGCTATACATACCCATCATTCCAGGGGGCGTTGTCATCATCTATAGCTTGTAGTCCTTCCCGTATATCTTGGTCAGATATTGGTGCACATAAGTCAATTCTGTGTTGATGGTTTAGCACAGGTCCCTTGTTCATAGTAAATCTATCTACTGATGTCAAAGTGGTGGCAGCTAAGAGCCTTGTAAAAATCCATAATCTCTTCTTTTATTTCAGTCAGTGAAGTGAGCTCTAATATTTGTTTCTTCTGAGTTCTATCCTTCACCAAAGCAGAGAAATACTTGGTATTGGAATCACCAAGCTTTCTGTCTTGACGGCAATTTCCTCAATTAAAGACCATTTTTCCAAGTCAATCAGGAGTTGTTTCTCTCTTTCGAGCAACATTGAGTAATGATCTTCTCCAGAGTCAATTTGAGATTGTAGTTTACAGAACTGAATAGGTTATTTATTATATCGACATTACATGTATATATACACTTGGAATGACAAAGGTGTTGTTCAGAGAATTTTTTCAAAATTGACTGGACTTTTATCAATAATGCTTGGTTAGACACCATTCCTGCTTGCAAAGCTAACTATTTACCTGAGGGAATCAGTGATTATTGTCCCATTAAGGTCACTTTTGTAGAGGAGAGGCTTAACACCAACAAGTCATTTCAATTCTGCAATGTTTGGGCAAAACATCCTCTGTTTATAGGTAAGGTGCAAGCTGCATGGGCGAAACTATTAATGGTTGTAAGATGTTGTGAAGAAGCTGAAGTTACTGAAGAAAGAATTGAAAGTCTTGAATACTCAGTTCTTTAGAAATGTTGTAGCTGAAGCAAATGATGACAGAATGGCTCTATAGTTAGCACAGAACAAGCTGCATGCTGACCCCATGAATATGACACTTCAAAGAAGAAGAGAAGGAGAAATTCTTGAAGTTCAAAAATACATCATATATGGCAGAGATGTTCTTACAACATAGAAGCAAGGAAAATTGGATTAAACTGGGGGATGACAATACTAATTACTTTCATTCTGTAATCAAACAGAGAAGACTGAAACAGGCTACCACACAATTAAAGGACGAGAATGGTGTTTGGCAACACGATCCTGCAACCATTGCCAACTTATTTGTCAAATATTATGAGGAGATTCTTGGTAGGAGATGTGAAACAAGGAGGAAAGCTTTTGACGGATTCGTTCAACTATCTTATGCTGGTAGACTTCAGATTATTAATGTTGTTTCGTTTTCCATTCATAACTTTTGGGGGGCAGTTTTCATTCTCCCTCAAAGTGTTTTGAAGCAAGTAGATAAGATTTGTAGAGAATACTTGTGGGGCACAACTAATGACAGAAAGAAAATATCACTTGTATCATGGGATAAGATTTGTTGTCCTAAAAAAGTTGGTGGTTTGAATATAAAGGGATGCAGGAACTGGAATATAGCTTCTGTTGGGAAGTTGTTATGGCAATTATCTGAGAAGAAGGACTCTTTGTGGGTGAGATGGGTTCATGGTATTTATATAAAGGCTGATGGAAATATTTGGGCGCACAAGGCTCCTGTTGACAGTATCTAGTATTGGAGGAAAATTAATGGTATCAAAGAAAATGCTAAATTGGTACACTAATGGCAGATACAATCTAACTCCTGGTGGGAAATACTCTATTACTAGGAGTTATAATAAGTTACTAGGACAACAAAGAAGATGGAGGATAGCTGAATTGGCATGGACTGTTGTTGTTCAGCCTAAAGACAGGTTCATATTGTGGTTAGCTGAACAAAGAAGATTATTGACAAAGGAAAGGTTAGCTAATATGCATATCCCAGTTGAAGATGGTACATGTTGTTTATGCGATGGACAACAGATAGAAACTACATGCATTTATTTGCTGAGTGTGACTGGTTTAAGCAAAGTAAGCTCAAAAATACTGACATGGGCTGATGTGCAGCTACTACCAGGTGAAGTTAAGCAAATGCTGGAAAGTATCAAAGCTAAGCATTGGAAGCCATTCAAAAAAGAGATAGTGGCTGCTATATGGGGAGCTGTTATATATCACACCTGGAGAGCTAGAAACTGGAAAAAATTTAAGCATACAATTGTACAGGCAGACATAGTGATAATCCAGATCAAGAAGGAAATTATAGAGAGATTAGACCTTCTTGAGTTGTCTAGGAAAGCTGATAGGTGTCGAGGACACATACAGAAATTGATTTGTAACTAGTTTACTTGATTTTGTTGAGGCCTCTCTATCCTTTACATCCTTCCTAGAAAGTGGTATTCGTTGTTATGTGCTCTTTAGTGTGTATTGTTGCTTTGTTGGTTATGGTAAGTTTTTCACAGTCTACCAAAAAAAAAAAAAAAAGGTAAGAAAATATCCTACATATCTCTCCTATGAGTCAATTTGAGATCTTCTCTAGCTAGTAACATGCTCTGAGTAAGTAATATTTAAATGTCTGAATTAGGTCTCAGAGCTTTAACTTTCAACCATATATCTTTCATATTTTGTTCATCCAAAGTCTGCTTCACAATAGGCAGAAAATCTGCATGCTCAGCCCACACATTAAAATACTTAAATGGAACTTTCGAGTGTATGTATCGTCATTTTCATCGGGGAGCCATCTGAGATAAAATCTGTTATAACATTTCCCCATTGTGACATGCATCCACTCATGGTTTCCAAAGGCTCTGTCTATTCTGCTACAGATGCTATCAATACCAATTTGCTTGTTAGACCAAGTTTAATAATTCACATCTACAATATTTTCAGGGAAATACGAAAAGAAGAATACGCATTCTGTACTCATTGCCTCTGTCTGTGCACTGCTATTGGTGGCACTAATATGTTTCTGCGGCTATTTCCTCTGCAAGAAACTGCGTACAAATGACGGCAGAGGCCTCACAGTGGATGTTGGTACAGGTCAGAATTACTATTTATTCAAGTTGTAATTATAAGTTTTTTTCCATCCTTTTGTCCAATTTCTTTATTTTTCAGGTGCATCCGTTGTGATGTTTCATGGAGATTTGCCTTACTCTTCGAAGGATATCATCGACAAGTTAGAGGCGTTGACTGAAGAAGAGATAATTGGCTTGGGACCATTTGGAACAACTTACAAGCTCAGGATGGATGATGGCAACATATTTGCTATCAAGATGAAGAAGGGATTTGATAGATATTTTTCGAGAGAGCTTGAAATTCTTGGAAGCCTTAAGCACCGTTACATGGTAAATCTGCGAGGTTATTGCAATTCACCAACATTGAAGTTCTTGATGTATGACTTCTTATCCGGAGGTCGCTTAGATGAAGTTCTGCATGGTGAGATATTATTCCACTGTCAATTATCTTTCAATAGGATTTTCTAGTTAAAAATGATTTTTTTTTACAGAGAGATCTGAGCAACTAGACTGGAACACACGGTTGATTATAATAATGGGAGCTGCAAAAGCGTTGGCATATTTACATCATGATTGCTGGCCTCGAATTATACATCGAGACATAAAGTCTAGTAACATTTTGCTTGATGGAAATTTTGAGGCTCGACTATCTGATTTTGGACTGGCCAAATTCCTGGAGGATGAGGAGTCTGACATCACAACCATTGTAGCTGGCACATTTGGGTATTTGGATCCAGGTATACTATACACACACATTCTTTAACATTTCAGTTCTCTGGATCCTGATTTTGATCTGGCAGAGTGTTGTCTGGTTTTCCTAATCTAGTTACAGTTCCTTATTTAACAACACAACAATCTGTAGCTGGTTCTTTCTGGACTATTGTTGTTACTAATCTAGTTACAGTTCCTTTTTTAACAACTCAACAATCTGTACATTTTGCTGGTTCTTTCTGGACTATTGTTGTTACTAGATGGTGTGTGTTTTAGAAAGTGGCATGGGAAGTCACCTACTGGCTACTGCTACTAGATTAGATGGGGGTGAGAAAGTGGTGTGGTTTCCTAGTCTTAGAGCTCCGAAGAATCATTCATTTGTTGTTGTTTTCCAGATTACATGCAGAGTGGTAGAGCTACAGAAAAGAGTGATGTTTATAGTTTCGGAGTTTTGGTTCTTGAAGTGGTAAGTGGGAAGCGGCCCACTGATGCATCATTCAGTGACAAGGGTGTCAACATTGCTGGCTGGGTACGTTCATTCAAATTTATATATGCTAGCTCTTAGTTACTTGTTTGAACAAATTAACAGTCAGTTTCATGATACTACTCTATTGCAGTTGAAATTTCTTGCTACGGAAAATAAACAGCGGGATATGGTTGATCCTCATTGTCGACTGGTAAAGACGGAAAGCTTGGATGCATTGCTTTCCGTTGCTACACAATGTGTCTCTTCCAATCCCGAGGAGAGGCCAACTATGCAGATAATCGTACAAATTATTGATACGATTGTCTCACCTTGCCCCAGCAATTCAAACTCCGACGGATGATAATCTCATTTTCATATTCTTAATTTGTATTAGTGGTGTTAAAAACATGATTTTAAGTATGGTTGTGTTTCCTTATGTTTTATTTTGAATGGTGAATATGGAAAGACAATTAAAAATGAGAGAGCTTGGCCTCCTCCTTGAGTCTATGAAAAACAACTTCCACAGTGAAGTTCTTGCACTTGTTAGATATCCTCCAACAGGAGAACAAATGTATCAATAAGCAACCATGTTGTATCAACCCAACCTTTTTTCAATTAAAAATAGCTTACAAGAAACCATGTTGTAGTATCAACAACTTAGTCTGTTCACTACTAGAGTCTTTGAAGCATCAAGAGTTAATCTTAAAATGAATGTGAGATATTGAAAGAAGAAACTCAACATTAACATCTTCCATTGTTGTTGGGAGAAAACGGGCGATTTGTATCTTCATAACTTCTCATTTATGCTAAAACAATTCAACTAGTTGTATTAACAGTGCTACATTGCAGTGTAATGAAAAGATGGGAAAAGTTTAAGATCCTGGAATACAATTCACTGTATCTATTATATACAGCTCGATTTCTGGCTCTCTTCCCCTGTATTTCAGCTTCCCTTTCAAATTTGTTGTATCAGACTCGAGGGAGTCCAAAATGGAGTTCAAAGTGCACTCGGACAAGGGGGTTCATGCACAAAATGAGATAAAAATTAGCAATTGATCATACGATGAGACTCTGCAAAAATATTAAACAAATTATTTGGATGGAATGACTAATCCTCAGCTCAACACATCCAGTTTATTTACAATAATTGACCAAATCCATGGGCAAACCCCTTTAAATAGGCATGAAATTAAATTTCCAGAGGAAGATAAGCATGGATTAAACATTATGTACTAAACTTCATACGTAGCTTTAATAACAACAATTCAAATAGGCACAGAATATCTAAAATTTAATCACAGAGCTTAAACATACTCCTAAGAGAAGACACAAAATACTAGAGAGAAGGCCCAAAATAGTCCCCCATCTTTGGGTTAAGACTCAAAGTCATCCTTGAGTTTTCACATGGAGCATTAATAGTTCCTCATGTTTGCAATATTGGTGCACTTTTGGTCCTCCCCTAAACTTTTGCCTATTTTTTAACATTAATTTTGTTCATAATTTTATGTAAGGAATTATATAAGGGTCTGAATCGATGTGGGAGAATCCCAAATTCAAAAATTCTTAGAGGATAAGGCTTGGGTGAGCTGGAATCGTACCCATTCCAACGGAATTGAATGGAGGATCGTATGATTTCTTGATGAAGGACGAAGGAGGTGCGAGATTTCGACACCTGGTCGATTCTCGAAACTGCCTGGTACGGAACAAACCAAACGGTAATAACAAACGCGTTTGGTTGTGTTCCTTTTATTTTTATTCTATACATTCTACAAAAGAAAATAATGATCTCCTCAATTATTACATTAAGTTACAGTTAGAGCACCACATACACCAAACTATATAAGTACATCATTTATATTTTGTACGTTGTTTTTTCTTTATAAGAAAGTTCAGTTCTCTTTTAATCATCCAGCAAATTACACCATAGATCATTCCTTTGGCGAGTATATTTCAAGATGGCAACTGGTCGAAATCATCCAACATTTTCTCAATTAAATTACATAAGTTTAATTATTTACTTTGTTCCAGTTAATTCAATATCTTCTTCGGGTAAATATTAGTAAGCTAGGAAAGACTTCACATTCAGTATACTAAAGAGTAAATTCTGCTTAACCCATTAACCTTTTGGGTTTGGTTAGCAGTACTTTAAAAGGTTTGAGGAACGGTACTTCCTTCGGGTTAAATAGCACAAAGAATCTCATTAACCTCAGAGTCAAGGAGAAAAATGAGAGTCATTCACCGGTATGTCAGAAGGACAAAATGTAGTGAGATATCTCATAACTCATAAGACCAAGAAATATGGAAGAATGACCTAAAAACTAAAAACCTTGTCCGCAATGTTGACAAGCCAAAGTAAAATTTTCAAAATTGCAAAGACTAACACTTCGAAAGAAGGGTTGTCAAGGTATAATAAATTTTGGAACTCTAGGAAAGAATCGCTCAAAGCAATATGGCTCTGTGAAACATAAAAGAAAGCCAAAGGCATGAATATCATTTTTTAGCTAATACTATTGCATAATTTTTTCAGTTTTACGACAACAACGAACCGATGTAATCCCACAAGTAGGGTATGGGGAGGGTGGTGCGTACGCAACCTTACCTTGCCTTGTGCAGGTAAAGAGGATGTTTCTAATGGACCCTCGGCTCAAGTAAAGCATAACAAAATCAGTATTAAAAGGAATACAATAGTGAAGAAGCCATGTTGAAAACAATGGGGGGGGGGGGGGGTAGCAACAACATATAATACGATTACCGAAGCAAAGGAAACATGTAATAATAAAATCAAAGGCTAAGATAGTAGGAGAACAATAATAATAAAAATAATAATAATACTGATAAGAGAAATAAGGCAACTCTACCTAATAACCTTCTACGCTAATCTTCGATCTTGGTATCCTCCTACCTAGAGTCATATATTCAGACATCAGTGGTAAGTTGCAGCGGGTCATATACTCAGTAAGATGTAAGTGTGACACATCCAGTCTAATCACCTCTCCCTAATACTTCTTCCACCTACCTCTACCTTTCCTCATACCCACCATAACCAACCTCTCACATCTTCTCACTAGGGCATCTGTGCTTCTTTTCTTCACATGCCCGAACCATCTCAGTCTTGTCTCCTTCATCTTGTCCACCACAGAGATCACTCCCAGCTTATCCTGAATAGATTCGTTCCTAATCATTTCTCTCCTACTATGCCCACATATCAATCTCAACATCCTCATTTCCATTACTTCTATCTTCTAGACGTGTGAGTTATTGACAAGCCAACACTCCACCCGTACAACATAGTTGATCTAAGGACCACTTTATAAAACATACTTTTAAGTCTTCATGGCACATTCTTTTCGCATAAGACATTGAATGCAAGCTTCCATTTCATCCATCTCAATCCAATACGACATGCAACATCATTGTCAATCTCCCCATCTCCTTGTATTATTGACCCAAGATACTTGAAACATGGAGAAGACTTGTGTATCAAACCTCATTTCCACATCCACCTCATGAGTTACGTCACTAAACTTGCACTTCAATTATTTTTGTCTTAGTCTTGCTCAACAGGAACCCATTAGACTCTAGAGTCTGTCTCAATAACTAATGGATTAAGTGTAATTCACTCTATGCTTCAATAACTAATACTTTTTCTATCTCTCAAATTGGTTTCAGAAAGTGCATTGCATAGAACACTAAAATTATCAAAGGTAAACTATAAAGACTCAAACTTTGTCAAAAGAACATCAAGTAAAAATCCATTCAGTAGTAAATGTGAAAGTTGACACATAAATTGGAACGAAGGAAGTAATTTAGTAAATATGAACTCACCATATTTGAAGCATTATTCAGAGGAGGAGCAGGAGGAGGAGATTGTCTAAAGGTGGTACCATCAGGCTCAACAGTCCAAAGAAGAAGAAGAAGAAGAAGATATTAACAACCAAACACGTTGAACCTGTGAACTTTAACACTCATTCAACACGAGCATGTCCAAGACAAATGAATAATCCGTACAATGTAGCGGATAGGGAAAAAGTAATATTATGCTCTAATATTCAAATTTTCATTGGAGTAACATTCAATATATAGGGTAACAATATTCGAACAAGGAAAATGGCGTAAAAGTTAAATGTTGGAAGAGAACAAGATGCTAACAAGGAAATGGCATAAATGTCAGGAACTGCACATTGAAGTACTTCCCAATGGATGTTTTGTTCAAGGAGTTCCTATTGATTTCTATCCAAAAGTGAAAAAAAAAAAAAAACACAAAACAAAAGAAAAAGAAACAACAAAATATAAGGAAAGCAGAAAACAAGGATAACAGAAATTATTGTAATTTAATAAGCCAATTAGCTGACTTGAGAATCACACCAAGGAGATGCATCCACCATGGTATAAAGAGAAACAATTTTAGAAATTTCATTCTGAGGGTCTGGCACATTTTCGGTTGGAAATTGAGAGGAAACCCTCACAAAGGTGTCTGTGCTTCACTGAAAGCATAGTGAGCTAATGCCAATAGACTTGGTAGAGCTGATACTAGACTTTTGGTCACTGGAACAGCAGTACAGTTTCCAAGAAGTGCAGTAGAAAATACTGTTAATCAATTTGATTACAGCTGGAAACACAACATGACTAGTTTAAAATTGCAAGCAATGAGCATAAGAGGAAAGCATCAGGCCTCATGGTTTCACTTTTAAAAGTGATACTCTCAATTCAAAGACGAGTTACCTCTATGGGAGCCATTTTACATTTTTGAAATTCACCTTTCTTGTAAGCTATCACTATGTTTCCTCGTCTATATGGAGCAGCCCATATCCTACCACTAGCATCCAGTTTCCCTTCATCACTCCTGCGCAAATATACCTGGCATTATTTTAAGTCAAAGGGAAGTATGAAATAATCTGAGTAAAAGATATATGCCAAAGTAAATAAGATGATGCTTCCAATACAGGACTATTGAAGAGACAAATCCTTTTTATTTTTTTTTGAAATTAGTAATGTTGTATTCCTCAGTATTAAGGATATGCTGGTGACCTCCAAAAATTCGTACATAGAGGGGCTAGGAAGGCTAATTACAAAGATCCTAACATATCTACTAGTTGCTCTACCTCCTCTATACATTCCTGTTTACACCAAAAATACAAATATGCAATGCAATTTTCTTTGACTTTCTGTATGGAGTTTGATTTGTTCTCATAGCATCTTCCATTTCTTTCCTTCCATACTGACCACCTTATGCAAGCTGGAATAATTCTCCACCACTTTTTTTGGCTTTTACTGCCTCCTTTCCTGATCCAGCAACTCAACAGGTCAGCAGTATGTTCTGGCATCGTCCAGCTATTACCGGTGAGACTCAAAAACAGAGAC